TTCGTTCCGCTGGGTCCCGTGGGGCGGCGCCCGCCCTCTCGGCCATTGCCCTGCTGTGGTGCCTTGGAAGGCTGTCCCCGTCTGCGTCCTGCGAAGCGCCCCAGTCCAGGCTGGTGCGGCAGGCCGAGCAGGCAGCGGACTCCACGCTGATGGGCCCTGACAAGGCGCCGCCCGGCATGGGTTTCCCTGTCCTCGGGTCAGGCTTCCATGAGGCCCTGGGTCACGGTGACGCGCCCACACCCGAGCCCGTCTGTGAAGACCGGCCAGTGTGGAAGGGGCCCAACGTATCCAATTCGCCACCAGGTGGCGATTTGTTCTCCAGAAGAATGTGCCATTTTGGGGACTCGGCGCTGGTCTCTGTTGCCGGCGGGTCGGACGTTCAGAGGAGGCGGTAGCCAGGTCGTCCTGGGCAGGTGGGAGCCCGTGCTCCTGGCTCACGCGTGGCCCCTGGCGCGACCGCTCTGTGCCATCACGCCATTCCCGGGGAACACTGGGGCCCATAGTCACACGTCCATCCACACGGCCCCAGACCAGAGTCCTTGTCCCCACCTCTGACCTGACCGACCAGCCCCGCAGGCTTTGGACCCTGCCCCTGAACCCACGGATGTTGTCACCTGAGCCGTGTTCTGGCTCACGCGGCACCTGCCACCAGGGGCTGGGAGTCCCACCCACTGGGAAGACGTGCGCCTCGCCTCAGCTCCAGTTCAGCAGCAGACCCCTGTGCCCCACTCTCTTGAAAGGAGAGCTGAGTGGCACACGCCGTGGCCACCCCAGGCCTGTGCCCTGACACCGTCTGTCCCCTGCTTTGCTTCATGTCCTACAACCGTCGGACGGAGGCATTTACTCAGTCACCGCCTTATGCCGGCCTCCCTCCGTTAGGAGAACTTGGCGCGGTGCCTGATATGTAGCAGGTGCTCAGGAAAACCTTGTTGCATGGATGAATGAACGAATCGATCGATCCATCGGTGGGTGAATGATCTCCTCTGTGTGGGGTTTGCAGGAGATTCTGGCTGGAGTTTGTGTGAGTGGGGTGCTTGCTCTATGGCCCCTTTGTGAGACTGGACGTCCGGCACACCAAATGGAGAAACTGGGGCACGAGCCACTCTGCGAGGGTCTCGGTGAGCCAGAGTAGGGCCCTGCTCCTGTCCCCCAACCATCAACCCGACTGTCCCGGGGTCTTGGAGGGTCCATGCCATCCAGGGACCTGGATACTCACTTCTTGGGACAGAACCCCTCGGGCAAGATGTCCTGTGCACAGCCGTATGAGGACCTGCCTCATTCACCCCAAATTGCCTCGGCCCAGTTGGGCCCAGCCCAGCGGACATCAGGCTTCTGTCCAACCAAAGTCAAAACTGGCCTCAAGGGCCTTGATGTCAGAGCCGGGCCAAGAGTGTGGCTGTTAAGTGAGGGGCCTCTGGCCTCGTGTGACCTTGGGCAGGTGGCTTTCCCACTCTGCACAGGGACCTTCGGTCCTATCCACCTTTGAGGGCAAATGGGAGTTAATGAGGTCATGCATGTAAATGCCAGGAGGAGGTGCTCACCAGTCTTGGCCATGGTCACCCTCAAACTTGTGGGTCAGCCCTGGCCCTCCCTCTCCTGATGGCCTCAACTTACAGAGGCCGTCTCCACCTCAGGAAAACACATGACTCCTTTGAGTCATAGAGCTGGCCCCCCGGTGCCAGGGTCTAACTGAGTCCATGACCCCTCCAGCTGCTGTGGGGACAAAGACTGCCAGGGAAGGCTCCAGAATATTGATAGCCACAAGGACAACCACGGCCAGCTTCACCGAGACTTCAGAGGGGCTGCCCTCTACACAGACCTCCCCTTGACTTGTCCCTCCATCCCGTACAGTAAGCAACACGTAGTCCTCATCCCAGGGGGGACACCGAGGCTGGAAAAGGGGCTCCCAGCTAGTGAGAGAGAGCCAAAGCCCCCCTCCAGTCCCCCATCAAACTCCATCTCCCAAGGCCAGGGGTGAAGGGCACCCCCACAGCACCGTCCGGCCAAGGCCAGCCTTGGGCGACTGGGAAAGAGCAGGGCCTGGGGGACCCGCTCAGCAGGGAGCTGCTGGCAGACAGAGCGTGGGGCGCAGAGTCCCGACCCAGGACCAAAGGTGCGGGACAACTTGGGGGATGGCAGTGATGGGGTCCAGCGGCTCTCTGCTCCTCCAGAAACTCTCTGCGTGGCTCGCCTCACCACCAATTAGCTGCCTGGTCCTGGCACAGCCCTGCCCGCCAGGCACACTGGGGTACGGTGAGGAGAAGCCGGGGAGCCTGCAAGAGGAACGGGGCTCGCTGGTGGAGGGGAGTATAGCCAGGTGCTCAGAGAGGGCTTCTGGGAGCACGAGCTGGAGCCCCGCACTCCTCCTCCAGCACGGGCCGGGCCGTGAGAGGCCTCGGAACAGTGGGCCCCCTGGGGCGAAGGTCCGGGGTCTCCTGCTGCACAGCCAGCTCTGAGGAAGGGTTAGAGGGAGCCTAGCCTCCTCCACTTCCCAAAGTTTCTGAAGTTATCTCTTGGGGCTAGGGCCAGAGACGGTCCCCGCGTGCTGAGGAAGCTACGGTAAGTATGGGAGCGCCTGTGTGTGCCGGCGGGACAGCAGCCCCTCCCCCCAGCCTCGCTGCCCCCACCCCCCACATGCAGACTCGCCCATTTCTGTCCTCCTGGAGGCTTCCGCAGATGCGCGCCGCTGGAGACAGAGCAGAGAGAGTCGCTGCTTTTCTCTCCCTCGGGCGCTGTTCCCTGGCTGTCTGCTGTCTGCTGTGTGTGTGTCTAACTGCCGTTCGTGGGTCCCCAGCCTGACGCTGGGTGGCTGTTTCCTTGGTCTGTGGGTGTCTGTGTGTCTGAGTGTGGGCGCATCTGTCTGTCTCGCTGTGTCTCCTGCCGAATCTGTCCTTGACCCTGTCTATCTGAGCATGTGTGTCTGGGGGGGAGGGGGTGCTCCTTCCCGCCGCCTCTCCTCCCACCCCCCCCC